AAATCGATGCACATCCTCCACTTTCCTCCTGATTTGGATACCATCACCGTGTTAGATAACCATTCAGGGAACTGAATCTTCTTGATGTGCCCAACGTTCAATAGTTTTTTGACCTCCTGCTTGATAATTTTGTCCATTTCCACGCCATGATGCCTCCTCTTATGCTTTACCGGCCTTACGCTGAGATCAATATTGAGTCTGTGCTCGATCACTCTGGCTTCAATCCATGTCAATGTCAGCTCGTTCGCTGTATACGCAAAAATGTCTGTAAACTCCCTTATTAGACTGATCAGCCTCGACCTGACTGGCTCTCCCAAATCTTTTCCAATCCTGAATTTGCGGTCACCACATCCCTGCACCATTTGAATTTCCTCGACCTCACCTCCGGGTTGTATGTCTATCTTCTCTTTTCCCTTGTCCTGCCCTCCTCTTTCCTCTTTCGCTCTCGACCCTCCTGGTCGATCAGGCCTCTCCTCCTTGCCTTTCAACTGCTTTCCTGCCATCTGTTTGTTGTGACTGACTGTGGTTTGGTAACAACTCCTCGACGTGAGCTGGTCCCCAGCAATCTCGCCCACATTTTCCCCCACAGGATATTTGATCGTCATGTGGTATGTAGACACGGCCGATTGGAACACGTTTAAACCTCTCCGCCCCAAAATGATATTGTAAGACGATTCTACTCCAACCACTACAAACCGGACCATCCTTACTTTCCTCGTGTCGCCCGAACCCAATGCTACGGTTAGGCTCACTTCGCCCATCGGCATTACCTCTCCTCCGTTAAACCCATATAAAGCTGTCGCCACCGGTTTCAACTCCAGATTCAGGTGTTTGTTGATCTGCGCAAAGCAATCATAGAACATCACGTCGACCGAGCTCCCCGTTCGATGAACACTCTTTTCACATCAAAACCTGCCACTTCGGTCGTGATGACCAGTGCGTCATTGTGGGGTAACAAGATTCCCTCCGCGTCTTCTGCTCGAAAGCTAATCATTGGCATTCGACCAGTTATCCCGACCTCTTCTCTTTTACGCTCACCGCCCGCACATGTCCCTTTCGTGCATTATTTGAATCCCCATCCGTGGGCCCTCCTGAGATCATATAAATTGTGCCCCTTTTCACGGGCACCTCACCCCTCAACTCCTCTCGATCATCGTTTTGCCGTCTCCTCCTTTCTCTCCTAGCATCGTCCTCCCTATCGTCGTCCTTATCGCTCCTCGCCACGCAATCTTCCTTGCACCTTCTCCTTTCTTTACCCCGTGGTCGATCGCGGATGACGAATTCTTTCAAGTACCCCGTTCGTACGAGGCGCTCGATCTCGTCTTTCAAGTGCCTACAATCTTCTGTACTATGTCCATAATCCCTATGGAATCTGCAGTATCTGCCCGACCTAGGCTTTGTCGGTCCCTCAAATCTCGTCGCTGGCCACGTGACCTCCTTACTCTCCAGCTTCTCCTCGATGGCCGCCAGGACTTCGCCCATTTGGGCGTTAATAGGAGTGAACTTGTTATATCATTAACCATTGGGTAGTCGAGGTCTCCCTTGCCAGCGGTCCTCTTGCCCTCTATGAAACCGCCCCTCCTCCCTCGGCAATGCTTTCTTGGATGAACCATTCTTTGGGGGATTTCTCCTAGGCGATCCTCTCCTGGGCGAGTTCGGCTTTTCCTTCCTCTGGTCAGGCTTCGACACCTCTTCGATTTTAGCAAACTCTGTCTCTGTCTCTTCCAAATTGATGTACTTCTTACACCTCCTCAACACCTCATCGTACGTTCGAGCAGGTGTCTTTGCCAACGACGTTCGGCACGGTCCTGGTCGCAGACTCTTGATTAATTCTCCCGCCTTCACCTCATCGACCGCCGTTGGGACCTCCAGGAACATTTGGTTGTATCGAGCAACATATTTACGTAAAGATTCTTTCTCACCCTGCCGCATCGCCATCAAAGTGAGATATGTTTTCTCCTGCGCGACCGTACTTGAATATTGGTTGGTAAGTTGTCCTGCAAAATCCTCAAAGTCTTTGATCGACCCCGGAGCTAATTGATGAAACCAATCTAGGGCTCCTCCTCGTAAGGTCGACAAAAACGCTCTGCAGCTAACCGGGTCCGAATACCTGTGCAACACAGACATGTTCTCAAAAGCCCTCACGTGCCTCGACGGATTGCTTGAACCATCGAACATCAGGCTTATCTCCCTAAAACTTGTAGGTAATGGCGCAGCCAGGATTTCCCTCGAGAACGGGTGTCCTCGAGCACGCCTATCTGGCCTTCCTTCCACCTTCTCCTGCAACTGTCGAAGCTGCTCGGCCATCCTATCCATTGCCCTATCTTTGTGCTCGCCTCCTCCACCATAACTCGACACATCCTCGTCTTGCGTCCCCGGCATCGTGGTTGGTGTGGTAGCCGCCTGGAACGTTTGGTGAGTGACTTGTTGCACAGCCTGCGTCGCCGCGTTAGCCACCATCCTCTACATCTCCTCTCTCGTCATGGTCACCATTTGTTGGGCAAGGGGTTGTGGAATTCCTCCCGCTGGCGGCGTCCGCGCCTACACCAATGGTCCATCCTGTTGAGCCACAACCGGGCCTACTTGCAACGGCGTAGGTATTGCTGTTGGTCCTGCTCCACGAGCCTCGTGCTCTTTGCTCGTGCCTTCTCCTCCGCCTGGGATCATCACACTTGAGGCATCGGTACTGGGGTCATCGGTGTTTGCGATGGCCCGGAGAAACCAGGTGGAGGCCCTGTCCCCATCGGTCTTGTTGTCGTTCACGCTTCATCAAACGACGACTGCAAATTCATTCGAGGAACTTCGTCCGCCATAGCTGAGCTCAGAACACAACTTCTTGAACGAAAGTCCCACAGACGGCGCCAATAATACAAGTCTCGCACCCCGACCGGCTGGAAATCACCTCGAGCTTATTCTCCTCGCCGGTTGAATGCGGAACCTGCACGGAACTCCCACACCGGAGATGTTTTCCGGTGAAGAGCCTCCAACGCTCAAGTTAGATCTTGAGAGATAATGTAAATGTATGAAAAATACGTGAGAGTATGTGAGATTGTACCGAAAATGAGGATTCTTGCCCCTATTTATAAGGGCGAGTTACCTGAGCTGCACGCGCGAGCAGGGCGAGTTCGGCCAACTGTCTTCTGCTCGTCCGTACAACCGCGCGCCTCCACTATCCTTGGTGTTAGGAAACGCGTCCCCTCTGTCAGAGAATGTCAGAGTTTGTTATGGCTATTGACCACTCATAGTCTGCCGCGTGTCCTCTCCTTTACGTGCTGGAGATTCCCTTGTGCGCTCCGATATTTGACCAGTTCTACACGTCCACGCCCTCCTCGATCGTCCTTCCTCGACCAGCTCCTCGAATGACTTGTATCTGTCGACCACTTATGATCTTCTTAGTCGCTGCTGTCTACTCTATGTCCTCCGCGGCAGGTGTCTGGTCCTACTCGACCATATCATTTGATCCATTCTTACTTAGGTAGTCCGACGAACCGGCCTATCTTCTCTGATTAGCCCTGCGAACCGGTCTAGTATATAATATCTCATATCAACAAGTATTCAGAAATAATTGATCTCATATATATGATATTGGAATATTTAGCATGACTAAGGAAAAAAAAAAAACGAAATTTCCCAAAAATAAGCTTCACATAAGGATGAATCATTTATTTAAAATCTATAACTCCCTTACAAGATGAGTCGTTTGTTAAAAATTTTGAAATGTCCATATTACTTTCTAGAAATTTACCATTTAAGGACATAATTTAATAATATAACTTCATTACTATCTTTGAACACCGGTGGGAGCATCAGCCATGGGAACGTGGAAGAGGAGCAACTCATCGATGACTTTGATCTGCTCACCTTCAGCCCACCAAAAACTCTACTTTTCATCAATATTCGGTGGTGGTTTTGATGACATCGTATCAACTGTAACTTTGATCCCTACCTTGCTTATACAATATAGTTTTTTTTTTTTTCGTACAAAAAAAAGGAGGCTTATACAATTTCGTACGGAATAGAGTTTGCTCGTTTTAGGGAAGGCACAAATCTAAATTCATAGATTTGTGATATACTCTGATTAATATTTAATACTACTAGTTACCAAATTTTGAGATATAGTATATTCCTTCTATAATAATACGGCACTTCAAATTTGCTAATCCATATTTTTATTGCTCAATAAAATATTTGGACTTCATATCAAGATTTATGAAACTTACCCGGTTTATAATGGAAAATATCAAAACCCAGATATATCCATATAAACATCGAGATCTTGATTGCTACAGTTGTGATAGATGAGGTGAATGGCAGTCGACAGTAATGTGTCCTTGACAATTATATAGTCCCCAAACTGCGTGTATCAACATTTGATATACCCAAATAAAACAAAAATCTGAGGAAAAAAAGTAAAACAAAAGGATGGTCCACGGGCTGGCCATTAGGAACGGAAAGGATGGCCCGAGGGTCACAAACGGGAGGTTTCGCTACCCTCGGAATAAAAAATAGTAGCCCCTTTGGCCTGTTATTGACCAGGCCAATGGCATGCCGCCTGGGGCTGTTTGACATAAATGTATAATCTCATACGCATAATAACCAAAACAAGGAAAAAACGAGAAGCACCTTGAAGGCAACAAATAACCACCATAAGCTTCTTATGTGAAACACGACGGTAATCAAGCATAGTAGTTCTTGCACACACACCTCGCCACTATTCAAGGCATGAACAGATTCTTCTACTTCCTCTCATCAATGTCATCTGTCTTATACTTCCAACATTGAATTATTACAAGGTGAATCAAAGCATGTATATAATTAATCATGAATGTTTCTTAAACTCTATGCAGAAAGAACACTAGTGATATCCAAGAGGAGCTGGAGCCTCCCTGAGTTCTTTTCCCTGAAAATGAATGTCCTGCACAAGCGTAACCCGAATTAGAAAACAAACTCACCAGTTTGAGAACACTATTTTGAGTATTTTAGCTCAAGTGATGAGGCTGGTTTCCATCCAGACATAATCTATTCATCGAAGACATCAATTGCGTTTAGCCTAAAAAGCAAGAGCGAAGCATATATTCCAATTGCATTTGTAGACAGAAGAAAGTATTTGTATATGCAATTACGATGAATATTTCTGTAAAAATGCTCCAGATGCAAAAGCCATCCTCAATCCTCCCTAACATGAACCCCAGTCATCTGCTAAAAGTTTATGTTTAAATTACATCAAGCATTACAACTTCCTCACTACCAGAATTTTCTACATCCAACAAGTATTAGAACAAACAAAGAATATTCTTTTATACTGGTCTGTATATGCAAAATTCAGACTCTTTAGACCTAGGGTCAATTTGTCATTCAGGAATTCAGCCTAAGCATGCATAAAGACCGTAAAACAATAACGAGATGCAACAGGTATGAAACCCAATTATGAGATGCAACAGGAACAAAATCCCATATAAAAACACACCAAAACATGCAATCAGGCATCTCAACATCATAATAAAAACATGTCTAAAGCACACAATCAAGGTATCTCAACAACATAACACGAGCTTACATGCATCCACACAGAACAGAGCATTTAAGAGAAAAAAAAAAAAAAAA